CAGGAGCCCACGTGTCTTCACGCCTCTGCCCTGCTTCGGGGCGCTGGCAACCGGGTGCTTTCACGCATGTCCCGCTCAGGGGCATCAGGGGCCCATGTGTTTTCACGCTTGTCCCGCTGTGGGGCGTTAGAAGCCCATGTGTTTTCACGCTTGTCCCGCTCTGGTGCGGAAGGAACCCACGTGTTTTCACGCTTGTCCCGCTGTGGAAGACAAACCAAGCGTTTCTCCCGAGACACCCTCAGCACATTCTGCAAACTCAGCGTTTCGCTCGAGACATCCGCAACGGTCGCAAATATTTACTTTACCATGTTCACTCAGGGTACTATCGACTTTCCATCCGTTGGCCCTCTTCGACTTCGTTATTCATAAAGGAACAAATCCGCTGGCACTTGAACGTGGCACCGGGGACAGTGCACCAGTAGTAAAAGAGAACCCTGGGCCCACGCCTTTCCCGGGAAAGCACATGGGGAAGCAGGTATCCTGCATAAGCGAACTGCGCACCCTCCAAATGTACGAGCTGGGTGACCGTACCACTTCTTCCCCCCCAGTCCCCACCTTTCCGCCACTCGCCTTTCTCCTGCCCCTCCTGACTCCTGCCGTCATCCGCCCTCCTCCCGCCCTCCCGCCGTCCTCTCCCGTCCCTCGTCGCCGCCGCCGCTGTCGTTTTTGTTCGCCGCCGCCGCCGCATCCTCTTCCGCCGCCGCCTCCGCCGCTGCCGCCGTCGTCTTCGTCACCGTTGCCGCCGTCGTGGCAGTCGTCGGCGCCTCTGCGGCGGTCGTCGCCGTCGCGGCAGTCGTCGCCGCCGTCGCCGTCGTTGCCGCGGTAGTCGTCCTCGTCGTGGTCGTTGTCGTCACCGTTGTCGTTGTCGTTGTCGTCGTCGTCGTCGTCGTCGTCGTCGTCGTCGTCGTCGCCGAGCGGCAGCGACGGCGCCCGCTACTGCGGCATGGGGCCCTCCGTGGCCGCCTCAGCGGCGCCGCCGCCGGCGTGGCGGGGAAGGCAGGCGTGGGGGGGGCTCTCTGCTCTGCCGCCCTCGTTCCTCCTCTCGGGCCCACGCCATCTCCACGGGGGGAGGAGGAGGAGGAGGAGGAGGAGGAGGAGGAGGAGGAGGAGGAGGAGGAGGAATTACAGGAATTACAACATTCGCGTGGCGAAATTTAAAAACATGAAAACCCACACTGCCAGGGCATATGCAGTGTTGGGAGAGACCTAGTGCACCTCGGCCGCTCCAAACCTCAATCGGCCTAGGAGGTGAGGGGACGACTCAGAGGTGCACGTATACGTCCAACGCCTCCAGGACCGGCCCCCGCCCGAGGGGAGGGGGCCCCCCTGCCACCCGCCAGGCACTCCAGGCACTGGCCGGGGACGCGGGTGCCCTGGCCTGCTCCCCCCAGTCCCCTTGCCCAAGGGGGACAGAGCAGGACTCCCCATGAGCCTGGCCGAAGCCAGACCCCCCCTCCACACCCTGGCGCGACCGGGGAGTCGCCCGGCCAAGACAGTGGAGGGGACCCGAACCGGCCGTAGCCGAAACGGGATTACCGTTTAGGCCCGAAGACCGGGGTCGGTGCCCCACTGCCGAAACCACCCACCCACCCACGGCAGTGGCGCAGCCCCCATACAGGCAACGACTAAGCGGGTTTCAGTTCCCCCGGACGCCGGGAGGTGCCGCCCACACCAACCAGCTGCCCGCCCGGGGGCTGGAGGAGGAGGAGGGGGAGGAGGAGGAGGAGGAGGAGGAGGAGGAGGAGGAGGAGGAGGAGGAGGAGGCGGAGGAGGAGGAGGAAGAGGAGGAGGAGGAGGAAGAAACGAGGAGGAGGAGGAGGAGGAGGAGGAGGAAGCGAGGAGGAGGAGGAGGCGGAGGAGGAGGAGGAAGCGAGGAGGAGGAGGCGGAGGAGGAGTAGGAGGAGAAGGAGAAGGGGGAGGAGGCAGGAGGGCTGAGGAGGAGGAGGAGGCGGAGGAGGAGGAGAAGGGCGGAGGAGGATGAGGACGAGGAGGAGGAGGACCAGTGTAAACCCAAGAGTCATCAACGATGTTGGAATGACCCCTCCCTCCAAACTCGCTCTTCACAGGCCCCTACAACAGTTCATTTCCTTTGAGGGAGCTGCCTCTTTGGAAGACAACCGTTAGAAGACCCTGAAGCATGCCAACACATTGTTCTCGGGATTCCAACTCCACGGATCATCTTGACTACTGCGCCTCGACAACCTTGAATCGTGCCAGAACGCCACTCCTGCGACTTCAACACAACGAATCAACATAATTGTCGCACCCGCATAATCCTGTATCCTTTCAAAACACCATTTCTGACACATTGGTGATGGGAGACCCGTGAAATTCTTGTTAATTCTTCACGCTTCGCGTATCCCCACCAGCCCATTCAGAAACCCTTCAGAGCTGACGGGAAAGGGAGCGAAGCTACACATCTAGGGAAACAAAGCGAGCAAGGGGGTGGCCTTGGAAGGTTTCTTCGGGCCATACCTGGGTGCCGCGTGGGGGCGGGAAGAGGAGGAGGAGGAGGAGGAGGAGGAGGAGGAGGAGGAGGAGGAGGAGAAGGAGAAGGAGAAGGAGGAAGAAGACGAGAACGATGCGGACGAGGACTCATGGAACCATCTAGAGGTATGATTGCGGCTGCTACTGCTGTTGGTGCTCTCTTGGAGGTTTGGGGGCCCTCTTGGAGCCCTCTTGGTAACCTTGGAAGGCTTCTTGGGATCATCTTGGAGGCCATCGATGACTCAACTCCCCCCTAGGAGCTGGCAAGCCGCTTCTTGGGGCTCTCTTGGAGCGCTCTTGGGCGCTCTTGGAGCATTGGGGCCGTTTGGGGCATTTTGGGAGCCATCTTGAGCCAGTTTGGGCTATCTGGGCCATCTTGGAGGTAATCTTGGGCTCTCTGAGACCGCTCGGGGGCCCCTTTGGGGCCTCTCGGGTGCCTCTTGGGGCCCTCTTGGGACCTTCTTGGAGCCCTCTTGGGGCTCTCTTGGGGCCCTTTTGGGAGCCCTAGAGCGCCTCTTGGAGCCATCTTCGAGGCTATCGATCAAAGGAGGGAGGGCCCCCGATCGGCGCGCCCCCCTCGGGGGCCACGGTCCTCGTGAGGGGTGTCAAACATTGGCCCTCCCAGGGGCCGATCTTGGACGCTCCAACGGATCGCGGCCCCTCCCGTCTAGGTCAAGGGGAGGGGGTTGGGGGAGGGGTCAAGACGCCCTCTCCGCACGCAAGCTGGCTAGCTCACTCCCACCCGCCCTCCCACATAAAGTAGCATCCGAGTCTCGGCATAGCCAGGGGTCGCTACTGGGTGGACAGCCAGTGGAAACCAAATCGGACGCCAGGTGCGCGACGCTCGCCGCGGGCTCCACATGCGGTTGGTGTGCCATCCTTGCAAAGAACGTGATGCCCCCCCGTCCGCATGGTTCAGATGCTGATCTGGGCCTGCGCACAACAAGCATCATCATGCGGGCACACCGCAGCCCCTGTCAAAAACAATACAAAGTGATCGCGGGTTGCCAGCACAATACCCACGACGTTGCCGCAACGTGCGCCTTGCATTGTTTTTGACACGGATGGTGGTCCTGCACAAGTCGGCCTCACTAAGGGTGCGCCGCTATCCGTGTCAAAAACAATACAACGTGCTCACAGGGCGCCGGCGCACTGTCCAGAGTTTGCTGCAATGTGCACTTCGTATTTTGTTTGATAGGGGTTGTGGAGGGTGTTGGCAGGGTGGGCCCTGCGATGCGCATTTCGTATTGTTTTTGGTCAGGGATGGTGTGGGGGTGCCCTCATGGTGTGCGCATGGTTCCGGGTTGGCTGCCGGCCGTGTGGGACAGGGGGCGTTTATAATAGAGAGTGACAGACCCTTCCCCTAAGGGGAAGAAGGGCTCTTGGAAGAGGACAGAACCTTACCGTTAGAATACCTGTCGCCCAAAGGCCTGGTGGGACTTTTATAACCAATGTGCGCGGCGCTAAGGCGAGAGCCACAGTTTGAAAAGGAAACGCCCTCAATCCGCGAAGTTTTTGCAATTTTTAAAACGAATGTGCGCCGCGCTCAGGCGAGAGCCACATTTTGGAAACCATTCGCCCTCAATTCGCGAAGCTCATGCACATTTTTAAAACGAATGTGCGCCGCGCTCAGGCGACCACCACATTTTGAAAATCACTCGCCTACAGTCCGTGCAACTCCTGCAAATTTGTATAACCAACGTGCGCCGCGCTAATCCGAGAACCACCTGTTGAAAACGACCCGCCCTGAATCTGTGAAGCTTTTGCAACTTTCAACATCGAATGCGCGCCGCACTACAGCGAGAGCCACATGTTGAAAACGACCCGCCCTCCATTTGTGAGATTGTTTTCAGTTTCTAATCTTCACAGTCATAAATGGTGAGGAAGTCTCAGGCGAAACGCCCGGCCCGCCCTAAAAACTTGCTTCGGGGTGCGACAGGGGAAAGTTCTTCATAGGGAAAAAGGAATGGAGGAGGAGGCGGGGGAGGAGGAGGAAAAGGAGGAGGAGGAACATCAGGAGGAGGAGACGGAGGAGGAGGAGAAGGAAGAGGAGGAGGAGGATGAGGAGTGTGCCACGCCATCTCGACGCGGTGCGCGCGGAAGCCCCGTGACGCGCAGCTTCTACATTCTTGTGTGCGGCTTTCCAGACATGATCGTGTTGTAAAGCATTCAGGACGGGAGGCTTTCGGCCAACTTCGGCTTGGGGGGCCCTCGCCAGGCTCCGGGGCCGTCAAACAACAACTCAGGATGAACAGCTGGTCCCAGCGAAAGGACCGGGTTTTCCAGTCCAGGGGCCCCGCATTGCAACATTCAGGACGTCGCATGTCTGGGCCCGTGACGCGCAGCTTCTGGATTTTTGTGTGCGGTCTCTGGCGCGGCGTCACGAACAGGCATTGAACAGCACTGGCGCCGGGCGAGGGAGACACGTGCGGTGTGCGGCGTCGGCGTCGCGTCGCGATCAGATCTTCACGCCCTGCGGCGCCGTGCGAGCCAGGGCGGCGCGGGGCGCCCAGGCCGCGGGCCAGGCGGGCGCCCGGGCGGTGGGCCAGGCAGGCCGCGGGCCAGGCGGCGGCGGCGGCGGAGGGTAGCACTCTTCCCCTTCCCCCCCCGTCCTTCTCTCATGTGCGATGCTTCGAGGGATTCATAGTTGAACTGACGTCGAGAGAGAGAGAGAGAGAGACAGAGAGAGAGGGAAAAAAGAGAGAGAGAGAGAGAGAAAAAAAGAGAGAGAGAGAGAGAGAGAGCGCAAAACAAGGGGTGTTGAGAGCCCCTCTTCTTGCCCGAAGGGGGCCGATGAGACGCGCTGAGGGCTCCGACGCCGCAGCCGTGGTGTCCCGCCTTGGGCCACGTTGGCGTGAGCTGCTTGATGTCGGTGCCATCTTCGCCCCCCCCCCCCCCCCCCTTGCGAGGACAGAGAGAGCGAGAGAGAGAGAGAGAGGGCGAGAGAAAGAAAGAGAGAGAGAGAGAGAGAAAGCGAGAAAAAGAAACCTAGTCAGTCGAAGGCCAGACTGTCAGATTGGATTGGGCCCCAAGGGCCAATCTGGCCCGGCCAAACTTGATGATTTGGGTTATTCGCCAGACTGGATTCGCGTTGGCTCCCCCGCCAGATTTCCCCCGTTTGCCAGATTGGGCGTGCCAGATTGGCGCCAGATTGGCTTCGACTACCCAGGAAGAGAGAGAGAGAGAGAGAGGGTGAGAAAAAGAGAGAGAGAGAGAGAGAGGAAAAAGAGAGAGAGAGAGGAATAGAGAGAGAGAGAGGGAGAGAGAGAGAGAGAGACGGTCACCGCCCACCAAACCACCCAACCCAGCCCCCGATATTTGCCTTCCATTTCCAGTGTGTGTGTGGGGGTCGGGGGACAGTGATAAAACAAGTGGCGAACCCTTACCCACCCCAGCCCGGAATTCGGGCTAGGTCGGGGTGGTCTGGTGGGTGGTCACGAAAAAGAGGATTGGGGGAGAAAACGCAGACGCCGCTACGAGGCCTCCAGTGGTCCACTCGCCAATTTGGGCCAGATCTTGGTGTGCATGGTTTCCCGGCGCCAGAACAAGCGCCCCCGCCCCCCTTACGCAGCGACGAACCGCTTGCTCAGCAGCAGACGGGGTACGCTAATCACCAAACCTGCGATCGAGCTTAAGCCGGCCGCGTTCGAGCGTACAGCGGAGGCCCTTGCCAAAAAAACACCCTCGTTGCCCCCAGGGTGCCCTGGGTGTCTTAGGCTTCGATGGTTTTGCAATGGATCGCGTGACGTTCCCGCACCAAAAATCAGTGGACGCCCAGGGGTGTCAGGGTTGGGTTTCTCGTTGGAGGTTTCTTGTGGCTTGGCCTCCATTGTAACCCGTGTGGTCTCCGGTTTGGGGTGCAGGACAGGGCGAACATGCTGACTGGTTGGAAGGGCGCCTGCAGGAGGTGCCGCGAGACGCTATCTGGCGAGGCGAGGCAGCCACATGATTCATCCCACGCCCACACTCCAGAAGGAGGAGGAGGAGGAGGACGACGACGAGGAGGAGGAGGAGGAGGTAGAGGAGGAGGATGAGGATCGAGGAGGAGGCGGAGGAGGAGGAGGAGGAGGAGGAAGAGGAGGAAGAGGAGGATCGAGGAGGAGGAGGAGGAGGTTCCGAGGGCCACGGAGGTGCGTCGACGAGCTCGTGAGGGCATTTTTTTCCTGCCCCCTCCCACCCCGCCCCTTTTATATCGAGATGTTTGATTCCAGGGGAGGGGATCGGCGGCGAGCGAGGCGGGGGGGAAGGGAGAAGGAAAAGGCCTTCTCGGGAGGGCGGCGGGGTTTCTCAGAAGGCGGGGGGACTTCCGAGCCTTCTGGGAAGGCCCGCCCGTTCTCACTTCACTCCCCAGGCTCGTCGTGCTTCCCCCTCGGCCTCGTCCTCCTCCTCCCCTCCCTTGTTCTCTCGGCGCCCGCCAGAAAGAAAACCGCCCCATTCGAAACGAAATGGGTCGGTTTCTGTGCCGCCACGGAGAAAAAAACAAATTATCCCAGTGCGACCCTACATAGGAGTTGGAGCCCCTAGGAAAGCAGCATTAGTACGAACAGTAAAGCTAAAGCTAAGCTAAAGCTAAGTTAAAACTAAACTAAAGCTAAGCTAAAGCTAACCTAAAGCTAAGCTAAAGCTAAGCTAAGCTAAGCTCAAGGTAAGCTAAAGCTAAGATGAAGCTAAGCTAAAGCTAAGCTAAGGCTAAGCTAAGGCTAAGCTACCGCTAAGCTAAACCTGAGTTAAAGCTAAGGTGCATATAAGCTAAAGCTAAGCTAAAGCTAAGCTACAGCTACGGTAAAGGCTAAGCTAAAGCTAAAGCTAAGCTAAAGCTACGGTAAAGGCTAAGTTACAGCTAAGCTAAAACTAAGCTAAAGCTAAGGTGCAGCTCAGCTAAAGCCAAGCTAAAGCTAAGCTAAAGCTAAGCTAAAGCTAAGTTACAGCTAAGGTACAGCTAAGCTAAAGCTAAGCTAAAGCTAAGCTGAAGCTAGGCAGAGCCTATGTAGGGAAAAAAACCTTGGGCGAGCCGCCGAGGGGGGGGGCGTCAATCCTCTCGCACGCTTTCTTCGTACGCCCCTGGCAGGCGGCAGCGCCGGCGAAGAGCCGCCGCCTCGCGCGGCCCAGTGTCCCCACGACCCCGGCAAAGGCAGCGGCCCCAGCGGTGAAGGCTCGGACCCGGGGGGGGCCCACAGGCGTCCTCGCCTGGTGTCTCTCGGGTCCGCGTCCTCCTCCTCCTCCTCCTCCTCCTCCTCCTCCTCCTCCTCCTCCTCCTCCTGATAGGTTGCACCGCGCTTTCGCGGGCACGCGCGGGGGAACGCTGTCGCCTCGTTCGCCGCTGGACGCTAACAAAAAGAAGGAGCATCGATAGGGGGGCGATAGGCACAGGGGCGGATACGTCGACCCGCACTCGCCCACTGATCGCCGACAGGGGCCCGAGAGCCCCGACCTACACAGCGAGGTGCGGAGTCGCCCTCGAGGGCCCATCGCCGATCCATCGGCGATGCATCGCCGATTCCAGGTCGGTGCATGCCCCCCCATGCCAGTCCCCCCTCTCGTTGCCCATCCGTCTCTCTGGGGTCCCGAGACATCGGGTCCCGGGGCCGCGGGAACAGAGCACGGCCTCGGACCACGCGAGAATCGTTGCCCCTCCACTGCGTGGGCTCCTCCGCGCCCCCTGAGGGCTCGACGCGCGGCGCCCTCCCGACGCTTCCGCAGCGGTCCTTTCTCCAGGTGCTGCCAGATGGGCTCGGGCCCGAGAATCTGGGCCTTCCAGGTGGGGTCTGTGTAGCTGGAGCACCGCTGATGCATCGCCGGTGCGGCGCGATGTGGAGCCCGATGCTCTCCACGCCGACGTCGCCGATTTCGCTGGCGTTGCCGATGCATCGCCAGAGCATCGGCGATGCATCGGCGATGCGGCGCGATGCTCCGACCCCATCCACTGGGACCCCAACCTGGGAGGCGTTTAGAGTGAATCCCAGCTTTTTCGGGAGAGCGATGAGATAAGCTGAGCAAGCAGCGCCGGCGTCTGCCCCGGAGCCGCCCGCGCACGGCGGCGCGCCGGCGCACCCCTTCATAATTACGCAGCGTGCCGCTCGAGCGGCTTGCGCACGCTGACGCGCAAGGCCTGCACGCCGTCGAGCGTAAGACCCACATGCGTTCTTCGCGCCGGCGCCAGATCTCCTGGGTCGGAATACTGTCGACTAGACGTAAGAGTGACCTTTCGCCGGAGTGACCTTTGGTGCGGGCACAGATGGGCCCCCAGATGGCCGACCGCGAAGCGGTAGCAGCGGCTAGCGCGCCTGGATTTGGCCTCCCCGCGGTCCCCAAAAAGCTTCGCACCAAAGGTCACTCTTACCCAGGGTCACTCTTACGTGTAGCCGATACTGATCATTTTTCCCGCCGTGCCGCACCAAACAGTGAGCGTCTCGAAGATCGTGATTGCGGATCTTCCAGCATCTGTGACGCCTTGCGTTCGGGAGCACCTTCACAGAACATGTGCGTGAGGTTCGGGCCCAGATGCGAACCGAGCCTGCCAGCACATGGTAGCAGTACTTGTGAAGGGGGCAGAATTACGTATTTCTTGGGTCGGCGATCGGCCGAGGAAGCGGTGGCCGGCGGGGTCGGCCGTCCAGTGCCAACACCTCAGCATCGCTCGGACGTGTGCATGTGTCCTCGGCGAGGACCACTGAGGAGCATCCTGGACCATCTCGCGGAAAAACAAGTACGACATCGAACAATGCACGGGAAGTGGACGTCCGAGCAATGGCAAGCCACCATCAATCCACGTGGACCTCCAGTTGGTACGTTTCTTTCCCTTTCTGGCTGCCCCGCGGCCCCAAGACGGCGCGACGAGCTGGGGAGGGTGCTCTGGGCCAGGGCCACCTTTGGTGGCAACGCCTCCGACCTCCCAGGGCATCCAGCGGCGTCTTGTTTTCAGCCCGCTGCCCCAGATATCCCGACCGCTTCCCCGAGGGGTACTCATCCTCCTTGGAATCAGAAAAAAAGGCATACACATAAACTTTCGGCGTTCCGCGCGGATCTCTTGGATCTGCGCCGGGGCCCCCTGGCGGCGCCTACGGGATCGCACCTGGCGCGCTCCGCGCGCCAGGGAGGGGGGTCCAGCGCGGACCGAAGAAATCTGCGCGGACCGTCAAAAGGTTATGCTTATGCCGTCTTCTTTATCTTTACCACCCACTAAGCCACCCCAACCCAACCCGAAGGTCTCAATTTGACCTTCATTTCCAGTGGGGGGGGCTCGAGGAACATTGAAACAGCACATATGGAGCCTGTGCCCCCCCAACCCGAAATGCGGGTGACATTTATCAAGCAGTGGCGAAGCGTCCCGGCGTGCCTATCGCACTACCAAACAATGTTCTAATTACCTTTTGTGGTTTCCACGAAATGTTCTTAGAACATTTCTGGCTGGGACTGGTCTTGTTTTAACACATCGGGTTCATGTTCTAAGAACCTTGTTTCTGTTCTTAGAGCACTTGTGGGTTCTGAGGACATGTCGTGGTAGGGCTATAAGAATGCCGGAACGGTCTGTCTCTGCTCAAATTTAGGTCTTCGGGTTGGGTGGGGTAGGTAGTCAGGAGGCGAAAAAACACACAGACACAATTAATCGTGTGTGCATTTATTTGTGTGTCCCAGGGCCCCTTCAGGTCGTCCTTCCTGTGCCCCCGAAGCCTCCTGGGGATTCTCTTGTCCGCTGGGCCCTGGGCCGGCACGCGGGCGCCGGCGGAGCTCGACTAGAGTCAACCTCTGCACAGGAGGCATGCGCCGCTCTCCACGAGGTTCCCCCTTTGCAGCCTCCCCCCTCTCGGGGGCGGCAAAGAGGGGGGTGCTGACTTGGGGGTGTGTGGATATCATGGCGGGGGCCATGATATTTGCCCAGATTTCATGGCGCCTCTTCTCATTTCAGTACGTCCCTGGCCCCCCCGCTGGGCCGCGCACGTGCCGCCGGTCATGATTTGCACCCCCCCCCCTGGACACTCGGGTCGGGCGAAAGGGGAGGTTGGGGAAAGGGGGGGGTACGAAATCTGCTGCATGTAGCTGGTTTCGGCCCCACCGCGGGGCCCGTTATACATAGCCGCCTCCGGCGCCGGGAGGCGCCGGGAAAATCAGCTACGTGAGCTGATTCTCAAACCCCCCCTTTGCTATCCCCCCCTTTCGCCCAGCCCGAGACACCCCCCTCTTGGCCGCTCCCGACCTTCGGCCCATCCTTGGCCCCTTGTTCGCTGGCCGCCCCCCTCGCCCGCAGAGTGCCGGCACGGCCTTCCGAGGCCCTTCTTGCATCCTTCGTCGTGCGCCCGTGTGTGGGGAGACACCACAAGTCGTCGTTTTCTGCTTCATCGTTTTGCCGATCGGCACGGGCCCTCGCACCCCCCCTTCCCCCCCTTCACTGGAGTATATCTTGGCCGTTTTGGGCGCCTGTTTCGAGCACGCGGAGCCTCTGCCCCAAAGGACGCACTGCTGCAAACAGCCGCATGAAGCAGAGGTCCGGAGCCAGACGCCCCCCCCCCTCCCCCCTTTCCGCCCATCGGCGAAACGCCGAATAAGAGAACACTCACCACCACAATGGGGGGAAGGAGAAGCGACACCAACAACACCAGGGGGCCACCTCCAGCCATGACGCCCACGATGCCTCCCCGGCCCCCATGGGGCGCCTCGAGCGAGGGAGGGGATCGCACCACCAGGGGCACCGCCCCGGGCCCCTCGTGCTGGTGGTCCCTGGTGGTGTTGGTGCCGCTTCTCCTTGTTCCGGACTCCCGACGTCATGTCACTACGTCGACCCCTGGAGGTCTCGGCCCATTGCCCTGTGCCGGTTCATCCAGGATCGTTTGTCGACGGTCCCGAGGGCCGGTAAGTAGGGGAACAAAAAGTGACATAAACATAACAACTCGGAGGTCCGCGCGGATTTCTCGGATCGGCGCCGGGCCCCCCCGGCGGCGCCTCCGGCGCCGCCCCTGGCGCGCTCGCGCCAGGGAGGGGGGTCCAGCGCCGATCCGAGAAATCCGCGCGGACCTCCGAGTTTTTATGTTTATGTCACTCTTTGTTCCCCTAGTAAGGGCCCCCAGAGGCCGAACATGGAGAAAGCCTCCTGCCCTGATTCTTTCTCTGCCCGAGGGGCTCTGGGTTCCTACACGGGAGAAGCCGCTGGAGGTTCTGCGGGGCTCTACACCGCGGCCGCCCGCGCCCCCCTGGCGCGATGGGACGGGCGGCCCCCCCGGCCGCGCGGCGCTGCCGGCCGAGGTGGCACCGCGCCAACGAAGCGGGGTGTGGGGTCTCGAGAAGGGGGAGGATCGTGGAGGAGGAGGAGGAGGAGGAGGCGGATGAGGAGGAGGAGGAGGAGGAGGAGGAGGAGGAGGAGGAGGAGGGGGAGGAGGAGGAGGAGGAGGAGGAGGAGGAGGAGGAAAAGGAGGGGGAGGGGGACAAGTTAGGTGCGCTCGCGTCAACATCTGACATCCTACCCCTCCCTCCCATCCCTTACCATGGCGCTGATTTTCTCTATCCGCGGACGCGTGTCGTAGCGGACCTGTGGCTCCGCGCGCGTGTGCGTAGTGGGTGGTGGTGCGCGTGCGTGCGTGCGTGTGTGCGTGGTTGTGGTTGTGGTTGTTGTGGTGGTGGTGGTGGTGTGTATGTGTGTGTGTGTGTGTGTGTGTGTGTGTGTGTGTGCGTGTGTGCGCGTGTGCTGTGGTGTGACGTGGTGTGGCGTCTTGGTGGTTTGGTGGTGGGCCAGGTGCGTACGTGCGTGATGGCGGTGGTGGTGGTTGCGATGGTGGTGTGTGCGTGTGTGTGTCTGTGTGTGTGTGTGTGCGTGTGTGTGTGTGTGTGTGTGTGTGTGTGTGTGTGTGTGTGTGTGTGTGTGTGTGT